GTTTTGAGACAAAGTTTGACTGTGTTAGCAACTGTCAAATAGGAGTCAAACAGAACCCTAAGGAATTGTTTTAACAGTAAGTGTGGGGCTGGGCTGTAGCTCAGTAGTAGGGCTTTACCTCCCGCCCCCTGGGCTTCATTATCTGAATGCACACATCTTGCAAGACTAAATCGAATGGATAGAAAAACATACGTAAAAGAAGCTGGGTGTATGGACGTGCACACTTGTAATCTCTGCACTTGGGAGGCTGAGGCCTAAGTTCAAAGACAGCCTGGGCTGCAGTGTGAGACCCTGCCTCAGAAAAGAAAAAGCTGGGAGGCAGGGGGATCACTCCTTCACAGCTGCATAGCAAGTTCCAGACCAACTTTGGCTTCATGAAACCCTGTTTCATCAAAAGAGAGAACATCAAGATGCAGATGTTATTAATTTGGTGGAGGAAGCAGGTGGAGGGGGGCAGGGGTGGGGAGAGCTCTCTGAGGAGAGCGCTGGCCTGGTACTCAGGAGGCCCCAGGCTCACCTTCAGAACCACAGAGAAGGCTAAGAAGGGATAGACACTGTTTCCCATGCCTCTGAGCATTTTGAAATATTCCTAAAGTTAACTGCCTTTGCAACAAGTACAGCTGTGGGAATGATCCCGTCTGTCTTTTTAAGCCTGTAGATTGGTGATGCTGATGCCGAGGAGCCTAAACTGTCTGCGATGACCTTGTTAAAAGGTGACAGCTCCTAAAAGGCTGGTCCACGAAAAGTTCGGGAAGCCGGGAAAGCTGCACAGAGAGACCCTGTCTGTTGGGGTCCAGCCTCGACACAGGATCAGAGTTCTCATCTGGAAGCAGGGATGTCTGGAAGGCACATAATAAACACACACAGACAACTTTTTGGGTACAAACTAAGAGGCATTTTTTTTTCCCGAGACAGTTTCTCTGTGTAACCCTGGCTGTCCTGGAACTCACTCTGTAGACCAGGCTGGCCTCGAACTCAGAAATCCGCCTGCCTCTGCCTCCCAAGTGCTGGGATTAAAGGCGTGCGTCACCACCGCCCGGCAAGAGGCATTTTTTTTAAGGCTTATCTCTGTCTGTCTGTCTGTCTATCTCTTGATATCTGTAGCTTGAAGCTGTATGTACATCTGCTCTCTCTCAGGGCTGGGGGTTGTGCTGTCTCGTTTACTCCCTTTCTCACACTCACACTTACTCTGTGCTCTTTTTCTTCTTCCACACACACACATTCCACAAACCCTGCACTCACCCCATGCACATGCTCACCTCACTCTCTCGCTTTTATTGTTACTCCAAAAGCAGGTAGAAAAAAAGGCATTGTATAATCATTGCAAAATCAAATTCAAAAGACTGACCACATCCTGTAGCCGCCTGCAGCCATGGATGAACGAGGATCACCTGAAAGGGAGGTTGGCAATGAAAAAGGGGGACGGAGAGGAGAGAGAAGCATGAAGCCAAGACAAAGTTCTCTGATCAAGGCTCCAAGTTTAATATTCAGCTCTTCTAATTTAAAGGGAACGCCCCACCAAACCCATTCTTGTTTCAGCCAGAGATGGGTGGGAAAACCCTTCCTTGTTTCAGTCAGAGGTGTCTCAAGGCAAGCTCAGCTGGGCAGACTATTCTAAGCTCCTGTAGCAGGCTGTACCTGCAGCCAAGGTGGGTAACTCCACCTTATTTGGTCTACTGTGGTAAACAGCTCAAGGCTGGGGGAAGGGCACAACATCCCACAAAGAATCTTACAGTTGTTCCCCAAAGTTTCAAGCTTCCCCTATTCCCAGTTAACCCTTAACTCAGCAGTTCCACTAGCTTTCTGCTTCTGCACGTTGCACACAATGACTCTCCTAAGAGTTCCAGTGTTTTGACTTAGTTTTACTAATATATAATTTTACGTGTTCTACACTTGCTTATCCAGGAACCATTCTCAAATGTTGTGCAAAATTTATTTCATAACTTCAATAACTTTTTCCTTTCTCAGGGTCCCAATGTTGGCTCTTTTATTTTCTAATTTTTTTTTTTGGTTTTTCGAGACAGGGTTTCTCTGTGTAGCCCTGGCTGTCCTGGAACTCACTCTGTAGACCAGGCTGGCCTCGAACTCAGAAATCCGCCTGCTTCTGCTTCCCAAGTGCTGGGATTAAAGGCATGTGCCACCACTGCCCGGCTCTTTTTCTAATATTTCTAAACATAATTTCTTCAGACTTTCTTTGCAAGTCAAGCATTAATCTGGAACTACCACTGTGCAGTTATTGCATTGTTTCTAAGATGAGAACACACAGCATGCACTTGGGCCATTAGGACTGTGCTGTGCTGTGCCCTGTGCCTCAATTTTTGATTGTTTAAGAATCATTACATCAAGAAACATCTAGTTTCACAGAATTCACCGGAGCTGAAGGAGAAAAAGGAAAGTAAGATATAATAGAATAATTATGCACTCCAAGGCCAACTGAAAAGCAGTCACACACAAATGAAATCTATACAGCCATTGTCCAGGACAAAGGTTAGGAAAAAATGGGAACAACTATTTTTTTACAAGGAGCTGCCTCAGGCTTCTGAGATGTCTCCATCCTGGCCTACTGCGGGCCATTCCTTATTTCTGATGGCAGGTCCCCTGGAGGGATGTGTCTTCTTCTCAGGGTCCAGCCGCCATCCTTTTTTACAAAGAGCTGCCGTGGGTTTCTGAGATGTCTCCATCCCAGCCTGCTGCGTGCGGGCAGTCCCTGTTATAGTATGTTGTCCCCAGCACTGGAGAGAGAAGAAAAGAAACAGCAAGTCTTTCCATTTGGCAAAGTAGGGTGACGTCATTTAACCATTGGCAGATTGTCTTGGTTAAAACTAGTGACCCGAGAACCTGAGAAACCTGTTTCTTGACAACATTCCCTACCAAATTAGGGTGTGTTCCCTTCTGCTGCTTTCTGGTTTTCATGGGAGAGAGGTAGGAGGCATAAAAGCAAGACAGACAGAGTCTTGCTCTGACCCTCTGGCTAGCCTGTAACTTTGAGTAGAGTGGGCTAGGCTCCAGTTTGAGGTAAGCCTCTTGTACCTGCTTCCCAGTTCGGGGTTGCATAGAATGTGTGACCTTACCTGTTTTAGAAGCAGTAGAAATAATTTTGTATTTTAGGTTGGATGTATCTCTAATCCCAGCATTTGAGACTCTGTCCCCCCAAAATTGTGTCTTGCCTGTGTAAGTATGCCAGTAGGACTTAGGGCTGCGGTGTGGCTCATGGACAGGCTGTGTGGCTCATGGATAGGCCCCGGGCCTTTCCTCAACCTTGGAAAGGAGAAACCAACTAATAGACCAGGAGGTGTACATGCCTCTCACAGTTACCTGTAGTACTCAGACCAATCACATTTGCTCCTTTATCTAGACAGGGGCTCAGTACTGGGCTGGCACTGGCCTCTTCCATCTGGCTGAGCGTAGGTTGGGCCAAATCGAAACCAAAGGAATCTGTTGTGTGTATTTACCCTGGACATTGTTGATCCACCTGTGGTTTGTGATCTTTGGCACTTTGTCAAGTACCTGTTGCAGGTGTATACCAGCTGGGTTTTTTCTTTTTTACTGAGCTGCTTTGGGCCTTATACTTAGTAGGCAATTTCATTACTGATGAGTTAGGTTTCACCAGCTCTTTCTGGTTTTTGTTTTTTTTAGATAGGATCTTATACTAAATTCCTCAGGCTGGCCTTGAACTCACTGTAACTTAGGTTGGCCTTTAACTTTCCATCCCTCTGGTTCATCCTCCAAGTAGCAGGATTACAGATCTGTGCCATTATCCTGACTGGGGAGGTGGCAAGTCACACGCATGAGGGCCTGCAGTTGGGTCCCTAGCTTACACATGAAAGCCAGGTGTGGCAGCAAGCATGTATAAGCCAGTACTGGAGGAGGGCTGAGAGTGATGCAGTATGCCAGTGCATCCAGCCTTTTGGGGGTGGGGCAGGGGTGTCTAGGTATTGAACCCGGGTCATCAGGCTTGTACAGCAAGTGTTTTTACCCACCAAGCCTTCTCATTGGTCCTGAGAGTTTCCTTTTCTGTTACTTGAGATTTATTGATGTATATGGGAGTTGCAATAGGGGAAGTTTTTGTTTTATACAGTAGCAGTGTGTTGGGTGTATAGATCTGGTTCCATGCCCGTCATCATAACAACAGAAGCAACAATCATGCCCTTTGTGTTTTCCAAGATTCTCTCCAGTAGAATAAGCATGAGGAAGCTGGAGAGCAGCGAGGACTACCTGTGACCAGGTGCACTGCTCTGGGACAGTTGAGCTTGAGCGCTGACATCTGGGTGCTCATTCAGATTGTCCTTCAGGCTGGGGTGTGGAGGACGGTGTGCCACTGAGGAGGAAGACATGGGTCCTCCAAAATGACTCCTCTGGTTCAGGTCATTCTTTGCCCTGTCATGTCCCCCTGACCAGCCTCTTTCAGTGACTGCAAATGTGTCCAACTAGAATACCATGGTTGGTGTTTTTGCCTTTGATTGGAGTGGGGGCAAGCCTTAGGACTGCCTGTAACACAGGCCCATGAGCTGGGCTGCCCTTTAGAGACCGGAAACTAGTGTTAGGAAGCTTGTCTCTGAAGTTCTTGGTTTTGAGCGTTGGTGTATGTATCTATCCTCTTTGTGGAGGATGTTTAGGGCCTGGAATCTAGGGCCTGGCGCATGCCTAGCAAGTGCTCTGCTGAGCCACACCCTCACCTGGGCATTTCTGGTAAGAGACAAGGGCAGAAGCCACCTGCAGCTGCTACCAGGTGATGTTTTCTTTTGGGAACCCGTCTTAGAGGAACTGGCAGGCCCAGAGCACTCCACTTCCGTTTTGGAATATCTGGAACAGCTTGAACTTCCTCCTACAGAATATGTGTCCTTTGACCCTGGGATTGTCCCTGTCAACCCACACGGGTTCTGTTTTGTTTCAGAGTCTTGTGGAGTTTCGAAGGTAGTGGGGAGATGCCGGGCTTCCATCCCCCGGTGGTGGTACAATATCACCGATGGGTCCTGCCAGCCATTTGTTTATGGAGGCTGTGAAGGAAATGGCAATAACTACCAGAGCAGAGAGGAGTGTCTTGACAAGTGTGCTGGTGTCACTGGTAAGACTGGAGCCCCTGGGACAGTTAGATACTTAGTTCCTTGTTGGTATGTCACTTCTCTCTGCTGGGCCTTCACTCGGAACCGAGGATGGGGCACGAGTCAAAAGCAGAAGCAGACCTAGTGTGCTGGATCCAGTGGCCACACTGCGGGCTCCCCACTGCTTCCCGCAGTGTGCTGGATCCAGTGGCCACACTGCAGGCTCCCTACTTTTTCCCCGGAAAGAGTCAAGCCTGTTACCTGATGATCTCTGTCCTCCTCCTGAGTGCAAGCGCTAGGCCAGCCCACCCCAAGAGGACTGGCCTCTGTCATGCTACAAGCACTGGTTCCTCAGACATCTCTGAGACACGTGACCTGCAAAGCTCTCGGAGCTGTGTTAGGAGTGAACACTGGGATCTCCACTCTTGAAGGTAGCATTGACCTTTACAGTGCAAATAAACCCGAAGGCCAGTAGACCCTGTAGTGCTGGTCCCTCGCTGCTGTTCCCCAGGCCAAGGCTGAGCTGTCCACAGAGGTTTTTGTGCCACCCTTTCTGGCTTGCAGATTTGCTTGGTGACTTAAGCTGTGTCTGGTTTTGTGTTGAGCCCCAGTGTTCAATCAGTCCCCATAGGCAGTGGCGTTTATGGTTTTCTGTCTCACTTTCGGGCTGGACTTTCTGGCTTTGAGCTGTGCATTCAGAGCTGAGATAGGCATCCTGAGGTGGTGTGAAGGCAGGTCAGCAGTGGCCGAAGATAGTGATCGTGATCTCTGGTCTACTGCAGTGCTTGTAGTGCCTCAGTTTGCTTGTCTGAGGAATTTTGAGAGGTTGGGGGTGGGGTGGGAACAGAATTGATTGTAATTTTTTTTTTTCTGCATAGTCTTAGGCTTAACCTTTTAGTCTTCCTGCCTCTGCCTCTTTTGGGACACTGCTCCCAAACTCTCAAGTGCTAAGTTTAAAGGTATCCACCGCGATGCCTAGCTAGGGTATGATTTCAGAATGGTGCATGCCAGTTCTTCACCTTTTGGGTGGTAACTGGTATATCAGGAGTCTTGAGTGAAGAAAATGTTGCTTCTGTGTGCTTTCCTCTCCTCCGTGGAGGGGAAGAGTTGGAAATGTTTGCTCCCCTAAAGTGATACGGACATGAGCAGGAGTCAGTGTGCATAGGGCACTCAATATCTCCCTGGACATGGTTCACAACCCGACCCCAGCTGCAAGAGCCTGGAAGGTTTTTATGGGCATTTGCTTGTCCGTCTCTTGGCATGCTCATGTAATTCAAGCTGAAAACTGCCAGGGCCACTGGTCCCTGGAGTCTTGCCAGCCTGTTTTCTAGGCAAGCAAGTTCAGATGGAGGAGGCCAAATAAGAACGAAGGTGTGTGTTGTGCCCATTCATTAATTGTAATGGAAGCTAGACCCTCCCAGGGGGCCAGACTGTCAAAGTACGCAAGCCCTCTAGCGACTTGCCAGAAATTGGCTTGATTAGGGCAGAGGAGGACTGAGGGGGGTGCTGAGTGATGTCAGGGCAACCCCGGGCCTCCACACTAGACCACTATCTTAATTTGTGCTGGAGACAAAATTATATCAGATGTCTGGCACAGTCTTAGTCAGTTGTAGTTCCAGCTGCAAAACTGAGAAGTAGAGGCAGGTTGATTCCAGGAATTAAGAGATCATCTTAGGCAATGCAGCAAGATGTGTCAAAAAGGAAACACCCATAACCCAAATTAAAACAACAGCAACAAAAAAATCTGTCCACTTTGTCAGATAGTGATGGTGCATGCTTTAAATCCCAAGCATGAGCCGGGCAGTGGTGGCGCACGCACGCCTTTAATCCCAGCACTTGGGAGGCAGAGGCAGGCGGATTTCTGAGTTCGAGGCCAGCCTGGTCTACAGAGTGAGTTCCAGGACAGCCAGGGCTACACAGAGAAACCCTGTCTTGAAAAACCAAAAGAAAAAAGAAAGGAAGGAAGGAAGGGAAAGGAAAGGAAGAAAAGCTCCTCCCTCCCCAAAGTGTGGAGGTGGTCTCCTTGAGAAACACACAATCATCACCCATGGGTGTGGCTGAGCACCTCCATTCGCCTCTCTTTGCTTAAGGTCTGTGTTCACATGGGATAGTGAGACGGCTGGGGTAAAGGACAAGTAACGATGTCTGGATTAACTCGAGGGGCCAGCGTGGTGGAAGGAGGGGGTGGCCTCTTGCAATCTGTCCTCTGACCTCCACGTGTACTCCGTGACATGCACAGGAACACACACAAGATAACTTTTAGACATTGTTAAGAGTGTCCTAACGTGCTGTGTGGTAGCGGATGCTTTTAATTCCAGCTCTTGGGAGGCAGAGGCAGACAGATCTCTGTGAGTTCCACCTCTTCTTTAAACAGACGACAGGGCTCTGGGAGCCCTGACTGTACAGAGTCATCTGCTTCAGCTGAGCTGAGTCCTCAGGCAGCCCCAGTTCCTCACGTCTGAGTAACGAGCTCGTCATGCCCTTGTACACCCCAGGGCTGAGCTGCTTTTCCACCAGGTTGGTTGTGACGTGTGCAGCCCACTTGATAGCAGTTTTCTTTTCTGCTCTTCGTCCCTCACAGAGAACACCATTGATGGCATGGCCAGGAGCAAGAACGGAGCGGACTCTTCTGTCCTGAGTGGTAGGTTCCTGAGGGCCCCCAGCGGGTAGCTGTGAAGGGAATGTCAGTGCCTCCTTCCCCTCTGCCTCTAGAGTACAGTGACAACCTCCAGTGTACTGACTTGTGCTTGTCACCCAGCGTCTGGCTCAGGCCCTGCCTTCCCCTAGGCTACTGTCTACCTTCCTGTGTCCTCTGCTCCCTCCCCTCTGGGATTCTGTCCCTTTCCCTCTCTAGAAATCCTGTGTCCTCTGCCTCCTGCCTGCCGCTCTCCTTCATCTGTAGCTTGGTGTTAGTTTGCTTTGTAGAGCTGTCAGTGGCCGCCCTGCTCGTCCTTTATGCTTAAGGGACTCAGCCGCAGGAGCCTGGGTGAGTGGTCCCTTGTACCAGCTAGTAGTGACTGTCCCCTTGGGGCCCAGCAGAGCCAGCAATGCCTGCCCTTCCACAGGGTTAGGGGGAGGAGACTATACCCCCGATGGGGACGAGATTCCCCCCCCCCTCAGTAGGTAGTCCCATGCATCACAGACTGGGCCCTGGCCCTGCCCTATATCTCTGACATCAGAGCCCACGTGAGAGTTCTGGGGCTTCTGGGGCTTCTGGCTTACAGGCAAGGGTTGGGGCCAGGTACCTCCCAGTTGTTTCCGGCCCTTGCTGACTGTTCAGGACCTTGCATGGTAATTTTTGTTTTCAGCTATTTCTGAGCAAAATTGCCCCAGTAGAATAAAAGTTTCTGGGTGCTTCAGAAAGTAAACACAGCTATCTTCTTGATCACCTCAAGAAACATGGTTGTGACTAGTTTCCATAGTAACCCCTGAGGTAGCAAGAGTCCCACCCACCTCCAGTGTTCAGTGTGTCCCCTGCTCCAGAAGACATCAGGACCAAGGGCATGTCTACCCCTTAAAGGTGGCACTGCCCTAGCTTTCTCCACGGGCCCTTTGACAGTCAGCCCCGCTAGGCCGATTACCCTGTGTCCCTCCTGACCAGACCTTTGTGTTGTAGTTCCCAGAAAGCAGAATTCTGAGGACCTCTCTGGTGAGATCTTCAACTATGAAGGTATGACTTAATCAACTGTGTCCGTCTGTAGTGGGGAAGTGAGTTCACTAGGAAGAACTTGGTACAAAGTCCCTCTAGACCTTGCCAGGTAGCTACACTTTAGATAGAGCCTCTGTGGTTATCTCAGGCTCTCGGGAAGCCACATGTGCCAGTAGCGTGACGTCAGAGGGTATGTGCTTCCAGAATTTGCCTACCACCCTGATTCTCACCAGCTCTGTGGCTGTGTGTAGGAGCTATGCCCTGTACATAATCCCCATGTGTATGTAGGGTTAGGGTCCCAGAGGGTCTCAGAGGGAAGAGTGCCTGGGACTGCATGAACTACAGTAACATGCTCGTGCTTGTCAACAAGTGCCTGAAATGAAGCCAGCCCCTCCCCCACTACCTGTGGTATACAACTGAAATCCCAGCATTGGCCAGAGGAGATGTTGAGACAGGAGTATTTCCATGAGTTCAAGACTATTCTGGAACGAACACACACACACAGAGGAGTATGTGCTTCTTGGCCCTGTTGGTTTGTCGTCCTGAGGCTCCCTTGTTCTTGCAGAGTACTGTGTCCCGAAGGCCGTCACTGGGCCTTGCCGCGCAGCCTTCCCTCGCTGGTACTATGATGCTGAGAAGAATTCCTGTAACAGCTTCATCTATGGCGGGTGCAGAGGCAACAAGAACAGTTACCTCTCCCAGGAGGCGTGCATGCAGCACTGCTCTGGCAAGTCAGCTGACCCCAGCCCTGGACCATGGGAGCCCTTGATGCTCTTTTCCTGTCCCTCTCCCTAAAATGAAACCTTTGGAAATGTCCGTCAGCCCATTGAATGACAAGGTCTCAGAGCCTCCAGAGCTCCTGGGGAGGGGAGAGCCCTAGTGTTCAGGAGGCAGAGGAGACCAACCTTGGTCCCAGCTCTGAGGATGGAGAGCATGGGGGACTGACCTTAGCATTTTGCATTCTCTGTAGGTAAGAAGATGTATCCTTTTCTGACCCCAGGTACAAAAGGTAAGTGGCCTCTGCCTTCTTCTCCACCTCTTTTCCACCTTCCTCCCACTGGCCTTCCTGGACTAACTGGGTTCTGCCCAGTGTATTTTCTGCCTTGCTTATGACATTGTCCCCCACTGGAATATCCTTGTGGCGGCAGAGGGCTGTGTCTGTATGAAAATGGCCAGGCAGCTCGGGATGTGTGGACATTTGCCCTACATTAACACTATACACAGTGGAGGCTGAGTCTGAATCCAGAATTTCCTAGACAAACTGCTTGGGCTACAGGGGTGTCTGGCAGACAGGCCTGTCCTGTGGAGTCCACACACAAGCCTGACCGTAAAGACCTGGAGGGAATTGAATGCCATGGGATGTGAAGAGATCGTCAGGGGTGTCAGGAGGAAGATAGTAGGCAGCCTGGACTGGTGAGGGGCCCTGTGTCCTCCCATTTTTTGTTTCTGAGCGTCCTTGGAAGATGAGTGCTACTCTATGGACCTGCCACAGTAGTTTGCCCTCTTTCTTGATCTTTTCTCCTTGTGAAGGAGCCTAGACCTGGCCTCCAAGTCTGCCTTGTTCTAGAAGTAGAAGCTGGATCTCAGGGCTGGGCTAGAAAAGTGCCCAGGTTTAGAGAGCTGGCTGTGGGTAGAGTTGGGTAGGGGATTGCCCCAAAAGCCTAGATAGGTCCTATACCCCATGGGGAGGGAGCCAGGTGACTGTCACAGGGAGTCACATGTCTGAGATGGAGCTCCACCTGGAAGGAAGGCATCTTAACTGACAGTGGGACAGTGGCTCTGCAGGATACACCCTCACCTAACAGACAACACTGCTCAGGCTGATATCTTAAGGGACTCATCTCTTTCTTTTGCCATTCAGGAGTTCAAGGCCATAGTCAACTGCATTGGCCCCTAGAGATCAAGTCTCAAAAAAACAAAATAGGGTTGGTGAGATAGATGGCTTAGCAGGCAGAAGCACTTACCTCCAAGTCTGACTGCCCAAGTTCTATCCCTAGCACCTCCGTGGTGGCTCACAACCATTTGTAACTCTAGTCAAGGAAATCGAATACCCTCTTTTGGCCTCTTCAGGCACTATGTGGTACACAGACACGCAGGCAGACAAAACACACATACACATAGGATTTTAAAAATAATGTTCAGAGCCACTCTGTATATGTGGCATTGCAGGGACTACCCTGGCAGGCAGTCTCTCCAGATTCCCAGGTTGAAGAAGGTTCTTGTTCTGAGTCTACTTGGGCTACTGTGCTGTACACGGGGCCATCCTACTGGCCCTCTGTGGCCGTGTTTCTCCTTGTCTTACCTGTCCCCTCTCATCCTTAGCGGTGATCTTGGTGGGACTGTTGATCATGGTCCTGATCCTCCTCCTGGGAGCCTCTATGGTGTGCCTGATCCGAGTGGTTCGCAGGAAGCAGGAGCGTGCCCTCCGCACAGTTTGGAGCACTGCGGACGACAAGGAGCAGCTGGTGAAGAGCACCTATGTCTTGTAGAGGCCCAGTGCTCAGAGAACGGGGGGACAACATATGCTGTTTAAAAGAGAACAACTGCTTGTTGAGATCCGTAGGGAGTTTGCTCTTTGTTTCCAGCCCTGTAGCTCAGGGCCTCCTCCTGACCCTGCCCTCCCACAGCCCCTCGGCCCTTCCCCTCCTGCAGCTTCTCTAGGAGCCCCATGCTTGTAGTCTTTACTGTGAGTTTGATTTATGTGGGTTTTTTTTTAAGTAGATAAAGGTTTTTTAAAAATCAGGATTCTGAAAGAATGTTTAATAAAGTGGGCCTTTTAAAATAAAATTTACTGTGTAGTTTGTTTTTTTTTTCTTTCTTGTGACTACTAATTACAGGTGCCAAGGTTTATCTCAGGACTTGCTCAGTTATTCTGGAGTCATGTGTTTGCGTTCCTGTTTTGTTTTAGACACAAAGTATGGGGTGTTTGTTTGTTTGTTTGTTTGTTTTTCTTTTTCATACCCTCCTGGGGCCCCAGGCTGACCATGAGCTCTTCCGTAGCTGAGATGACTTGAACTTGCTACCAGCAACATTACAGGCGACATTACAGGCATGTGTCCCTATACCTGGACTATTTCGGGTTGAGGCTGGAACCCAGGGCTGCTGTTCTGCTGGGCAGGCACTTCAACACAGCTGCATCAAAATCAATCTCTCTCTCTCTCTCTCTCTCTCTCTCTCCCTCTCCCTCTCCCTCTCCCTCTCCCTCTCCCTCTCCCTCTCCCTCTCCCTCTCCCTCTCCCTCTCCCTCTCCCTCTCCCTCTCGCTCTCCCTCTCTTTCTTTTGAGGGGCCCTCAGCAAGGGAGCGTTGTAGCACATGCCTGCAATCCCAGCACTCAGAAGCAGGAGGAAGATCTCAGTTCAAGGCCAACCTGGGCTATGAGACCCTCCAAAACAAGAACACTTGGCCAGGGAGATGGCTCTTGCAGAAGGCCCAATTTCCATGCCCAGCAACACATGGTGGCTCACAGCCACCTGTTTGTTTCTCCAGTTCTAGGGTGTTTGTTTTTACCCTCTTCTGGTCTCTGGGACACAAGTGACATGCACGCAGTGGAAACACTCATATACATAAAATAGTAAAAAGATGACTGCCAACATTGAACCCTGCTCTGTCCAGAACCACAGAATATCTGCATTTACAGTATGGGGGCAGTTGCCATTTGTCTTTGCCCTTACAGTGGTTGAGAGTGCACTAGAGGTCACAAGTCAGCCTGGTCCATCAGCGTAGGTCCAATAGATGACAGACCCTTAGATCCACCCAGTCTGTAAGGTGTCCTAATCCTTTCCCCAGCCTGAGGCTCCTGAGTTTTGCCTGAGGATGAGCCAACATGAAGGGATTTGACTGGCTTCTGTCGCTCAGATTGATCAAAGCGCTCAGTGGAGTTACGTACTCAGTGAACTCCCACATGGTTGAGGGCTGGACACAACCTGCTAGGAGAGTCTACCCACATGGGCCTCTGGTCCTGCAGGTCTTGCTCTTGGGAAGTTTGCAAAACAGTTGTACTTCCGTTGAAGTCTTCACAGGTGGGACTGTGGTGAGCAACTGACTCCAGAGGAGGAAGCTGTGAAGCCATCCCTGGAATGGGAACACTCCCATATTGTCCTTGGCACATCCTGGGACCTGGAACCCCAGGCCCTCGGGTTCCAAGGTTTACGAACAGGTGATTCTGGGCACTGTGAAGGTCATGACTCGGGATTGCATTTGCTGCTCACATGTTTAAGAAGGAGGGGCAGTCAATTGCTGGCATAAAGCTTTATAACACCCCTTCATAGATGCCAGGCGATTGGCAGGCCATCGAGCCACACCCTCACCTAATCGTGTTCTTCCTTTGTGACAGCTTACTGCCAGGCATGCATGTACGGATCTATCTGGGGTCCTGTGAACAAAGAAAACCGTACAGATGTCTTGCTGTGCATGAGAAGCTAGGAAACCAGTTTTTGACCCAGGAGTCTAGAGGTTAACAGCCAGGATGTCAGCTTAGAAGCAGAAGGAAGTAAACTAGACTGACTGGGTGGGGGCCGAGCTCAGCAGTCACCTGGGCAGTCACCGGCCAGCACAGTGCTTCAGTCTGATAAGAGGACAGTCCCCATGAGCTGCGAGCTCATCCAGCTGCTGGAATGTGATTGAATGGGGATAATCTTATTTATAGGAGCTGGGCCTCTATTAGTGGGAACTCCAGGAAAGACTAAACAAATCCTCACCATAATCCCGTTTCCAGACAAACATGTGACTTCAAGCATATAGCACTCCGGAAAAGGCATATAGCTATCCCAACTGGGTCCCTCAGCATCTTGGCTTCCCTGCCCACTATAATTGCTGACCAGAATTTGTTTTTGTTTTTCGAGACAGGGTTTCTCTGTGTAGCCCTGGCTGTCCTGGAACTCACTCTATAGACCAGGCTGGCCTTGAACTCAGAAATCCACCTGCCTCTGCCTCCCAAGTGCTGGGATTAAAGATGCATGCCACCACTGCCCAGCCATTTTTCTCTAAGTTTGTGTGTATGAATGTTTTGCTTACGTGTATGTATGTGCACCATGTGCATGCCTGGTGCCCATGGAGTTCAGAAAAGGATACCCCGTGAATGTCGAGAGTTGAACCTGGGACTTCTGCAAGAACAAATGCCCTGAACCACTGAGCCATCTCTCCAGCCCCTCCATTGGGTGTGTTGAGACAGGGTCTTTCTATGGAGAACAAGCTGGCCTCCAGCTGGTAATCCTCCCACTGTTCTTCCTTTCTTTCCCAGTGCTTGGATTATAGCCAAGTATGCAGGGCAGGCAAGTGTTAATCTTCACATGAGGTGAGGGGTCACTGAGGTGTACCTGTCCTTGGTCCCTGTGATCAGCAGGCTAGCAGAGGACTCCCCCGACAGAGGTAAGCCAATTCACAGGACACACCACTCTGAGTCACTTGTTGTTGGTGAGGAGCAGAGCAGACAGGGTCCCACCCTTTTGCAATTTATATCCTGCCCGGACAGGCTTTCTCTGCTGTTCTATAAGGAGCTATGGGCACAACCGCTCACTGTTCACACAGCCTCCCATCAGTCATCGTGATAGGGACCAAAGGTCGCCCCACTCCCTCCTTACCTCTGCCTCTTCCCTCTTATCTACCCCTCCCACTTCCTTGAAGGTCCTTGGGCGGCATCCCTGCCTTTGCACCTGTGAACCCTTGGACCTACCACAGTGTTAGTTTACCTCAATAGACAGTGCTTCTCCACGTAGCCCTGGCTGTCCTTAGGACTCGCTCTGTACACTAGGCTGGCCTCGAACTCTGCCTGCCTTTGCCTCCAGAGCCTGTGTCATCATGCCCTGCCTACTTCTAACTTTAAAATGTTTATTTTACTGAGAATTTAACCCAGGGCCACCTGCATGCTGGGAAAGTGCTCTGTCACTTTGAGGAGGAACCTCCACCTCCAGTGCCCTTTTGTTCCTTCGGGACAGGGTCTTGGTAAGGTGTACAGGTTGGCCTTGTTTGTAGAGTCTTGAAATTGCAAAACAAGGCAGCATGCTGGCACAGTGGCAAACCTGTGTGGCTTCCACTTACATAGCAATCCTAAAGCCAGCCTGGACTAGTGGAGACCCAGCCTCAAAACCAAACATCTCTAACGAGGTTGTCACTTTAAAAATCTAACCCTTATCAAAAAAAAAAAAATTAGCTAGGCAGTGGCGGTGCACACCTTCAATCCAGCACCCGGCTCTCTGAGTTTGAGGCCAGCCTAGTCTACAGTTCCAGGGGAGGCAGGGCTACATAGAAAAACCGTCTCAAACAACAAAGCCAAGCCCTCCCCAACATACCACACAGTTAGTGGTTCCTCCGCCCCGCTATTTTTCTCCATGCCTTTACTCCTTTGGTTGATGGAGTAGGTGTTGGGTTTTGGATACAGAATCCACTGCTGTTTAAGACCAGCTCTGGCTGTATATTGACTTACAGGCCAGATGGGTCTACCTGAGACCCTGTCTCAGAAAGAGGGTGGGTGGGATACTAGAGAGATGGCTCAGTGATGAAGAGCACTGGCTGCTCTTCCAGAGGACCTGGGTTTGATTCCCAGAACCTACATGGTGACTTACAACTTAAGTCCAACTCCAGGGGAACCTACACTGTTCTTCTGGCCTCTGCAGGCAGCAGGCATGAATAGGTGCACATACATACATAGGCAAAGCATCGTTATAGGTTTTTAATTTTAAAGGGGTAAGGTGCTAGAAGGTGGTTAGGAACGCTTGTTGTTCTGGTGGCTCAAAACCACCTGTAACTGCAATCCCAAGGATGGCTTCCACAGACACCAGCACACCCATACAGGAAAGCGTTCACACATACCTTTGAAAATAGTTTTTCAGATAATGGTAAGCACCAAGTGTGTGCTGGAATGACAGGAGACAGGTGTGTGGAGCCTGCACGGCCAGCGCAGGCATTTCTGCAAATGGACACGAAGCAGGCATCCGAGGTGGCACATGTCCACCATAACCCTTGAAGTAGCCGCCATTCCTGCCCAGAGACGCCCACGTTTGGAACATATAGGTAGCTGTTTTCTTTTGAATATTTTTTCTATTATAGTTTTTTTTTTTTTTTTTTTTTTTTTTTGGTTTTTCAAGACAGGGTTTCTCTGTGTAGTTCTGGCTGTCCTGGAACTCACTTGGTAGACCAGGCTGGCCTCGAACTCAGAAATCCGCCTGCCTCTGCCTCCCAAGTGCTGGGATTAAAGGCGTGCGCCACCACCGCCCGGCTTCTATTATAGTTTTGTTTTGTGTGCATGTGCCTGGATGTTCACTTGTGGAAGTTCAAAGACAACTCACAGGAGTTTGTTCTCTTCCCCCAGGGGGGTCTGGGTGATTAGATCTCAACTCGTTAACCTGGCACATCTACACAATGGCCACCTCACCAGCCTCCTCATTTTCTTGAGTCAGGTATATTGCTGGCTGGCACAGAACTCACTCTGTAAGGCCAAGCTGGCCTTGAACTCAGATATCCACCCTCCCCTGCCTCCTGAGTGTTGGGATTAAAGGTGTGTGCCACCAAGCCCAGCAATGTCAAGCTGTGTAGCCCAGGCTACCATAGAACCTTCAATTCTCCTGCCCCAGTCCGCTGAGCAGTGGGATTACAATGCCTAGCTTGGAGCTAATGTTTGTGTTTCCAAAAGTCACATGGCTTTGCCATGTCCCAAATTCGAGATCCTATGTTCAGACGTGGAGAGCCAGGAGAACTTTGGGGGACGCAGGCTCCCAGCCTTTACAACTGTGAGATAAATTACCGCGTAAGCACTAATCTGTGACGTTTAACACCCCAAATTAAGACACCTGCCTTTACCAAAACAACGCCACATATTTCACCACTGTGCACTCTGCCAAGCACGAACCTAGGAATTTAACCCATCTGCCCTGTCTTCCAGCATCACCCCAGGGTGCAACTTTTGCTGATGCCTTTCCATTGCCACCAAATGTACACTGCACATCTCAAGTATGACAGGAGCTGGGAACCAGCCAGAACTCGTCGCTCCAAGGATGCACTTTAACTTTGTTCAGTGTACGCGGAAGGGCTCTCCCAAAGCAAGTACCCCCGCAGAGGGCAACTCATGACTAGTCTCACCCCCCTTTCTCCTAGAAACCTACAGCCACTTCCACCCCCACTTCCCACTTAGGAAAGTCTGGGTGGAGCTGGGAGCGCCAGTGCAGTGAGTCAGGGCCTAAGATCTGAGAGGGACAAAGGTCCGGAGGGTGGGGCTTCGCAGAATTCCTGAGGTGGGCGGGTCGTGTAGTCCCACCCCCCGCCCTAGGCCCGGCCTAAAGCTTCGGGCCATCCAGACAGACTGGTCACCGCCATGGAGTTTGACTTGTCCGCAGGTACGCTCCCCGGGAGTGGAGGATTTGCCGTCTAAAGGGCCTTACTCAAAGCCCGGGATTCCTATTGAAGGGACGCTCCGACGCCTACACAACCCGTGTAACTCCCCTCTCCTCTGCAGCCCTGGGCCCTGGTTCTAAGAAGCCAGACGGGGCATGTCAAGTGGGAGACCCCAAACACTGTCCTCTTAAAGCGCCGGGCCGACCAGAGGCAGGCGCTGCTCACAAGCCGAGGGTAAGTCACTTCACCACCGGCATCGAGTACCGAGAGCCCGAAATGAGGACTGGCTTCCGTCCTGGGTCCTCGGCCACACAGCAGCCTTCCAGTTTGGGTTAGAAGCTGCTCGGGCGGGTCCCTGCCCTCACTGTCACACCGCCCCCAACCCTCATCTAGCACGGCGCTGGCGGCTCCTCCGACTCCAGCAGCAGCAGCAGCAGCTCCAGCGACTCAGAGGCAGAGGGGAAGGTAAGAGGCCGTTCCTCTCCCAGCATGTTCTTTGGCAGCTCGGACCCAGACCCCGCCACGGTCAGGGTCAGGTTAGGCTCCTAGCCGAGGTGGGCGGGGCGGGTCCAGCACGGCTCACACCCCGGCCACCTCCTCTCCTACCCACCGCCCCCGGCTCTCCAGGAGCACGCCGCTGGCTGCAAGAAGCATGAACGCTCTTCAGACAAGGCCAAGAAGCCCAAAGTGAAGAAGGAAAAGAAAAAGAAGGAGAAGAAAAAGGAGAAGGCCCCCCACTGACGTATTAAACTTGCAGCCCTTCCCGCTCCCCAGCGCCCTCTGCCGGTCAGGAGCGGAGGCCGCGCAGAGCCCATCGTGTTTATTGTTGCGGGTGTGCAGTTGGCGACATGAGCACCTTGGTTGGGAGGGAGGGCACGGGCCTGGAGGGCGGGGGCCCTGGTCAAGCGAGATGAGTGTGGGAGCTGGAGGCCAGGCCGGCAGCTCACCGGACGAGGTGGAAGGTGAGCCAGTACATGAGTACCGGCTGCGCAGCCGCCACCGCCATGGTCAGGTACATGCGCAGCTGGTTCCGCGCCCCGCGCACCGGCACTCCCTCAGCCGCTGCCTGGGCCAGGATCTTGAGCCGCAGTGTCCGGATCTGGGTAGCAAGGGGAAAGTGTGTCAGCGTCGGGGACCCGTAAGTGCCAGGCAGCCCCGGGATGAGTCCCTGCCCCTCTGTGGCCTCCAGTGTGTGTTCCTAGAAGGGGCTGTTGAATAGCTACCTCCGCAGGGCCCTGTGAGCAAACCATAGTGAGCTGCAGAGGCAAAGGCCAGATCGTTGTAGATCCCAGCCAGAAGAGCCCGTAGCTGCTTCCAGGTCCCACCCTGAGACAGTGCCCCCCTTCATGCATCGCAGATTCTCGCAGATACTAGGCCAGTGTCACTCCCAAACCACGCTAGCTCCAGAAGACAAACTAGAAGAGCTATTTTGGTTTTGCTCAGATGCCTTCCCCCTCCCTCCCTCTCTCCCTCCGTCCCTCCCTCCCTCTTTGGGAATAGAGGGCACGATCTTGATATGAAGACCAAGGTAGCCTCAAGCTTCTGGCGATCTACTTGAGCTCTGGTATGGACGTCAGCACAACCTTCAGGGGTCAGTTCTCTCCTTCCTCCTTCCACCATGTGGGTTCCGGAGATAGAACTCAAAGTTGTCAGGCTTGGTAGCAAAAAGTGCCTTTTACCTGCGTAGCCACCTCACAGGTCCCAATGTTTTTTGGATGCACGTGTGTTTGTATGTGTGTGCATATATATCTGGGGGCTAGAGGACCTTTGGGGGGGTCACCTTTCTTTTTTCTTTTTTTATTTTTACGACAGAGTCTTTTATTAACCAAGCATTTACCAAGTGGGCTAGGCGGGTAGACCAACGAGCTCCAGTTACCCTGTCTCGACATTCCTAGCTCTGAGATTATAAGAGTATATCCGCTCTGAGCTTTTTTTTTTTTTTTTTTAAATGTGGGGTCTAAGGATTGAAGTCAGGTCTTCCTCACTGACGGAGCCCTCTCTCCAGCTCCCTTAATGTCACATGATGACAAGGCTTGTGCTTGTGGGTCAGCGCCAGTGTTTCCCTCGGCCTCCCCCTCATGCTCAGTCTAAATCCTCCCAAGACCCCAGGTGCAGTCACCTGGCATCCCATTTTACAAAAGAAACGGAGGCTTAAGTAGAAGAGGTATTCACTCCGAGTAGATTAGGAACACCCAAACATGGCAGTCCGTATGGCCCCCAGTCAGTACACCAGCTGAAGGGACTCAGGGGCGTGTTGGCGGAAAGCCCAGCATACAGGAACAGAAGTAAGAGACCCGAGCGGAGCCTGTGTACTGGGCGAGCCTGTCCCCTAGCCTAGGATCCCACTGGCTCTTGCTCTCAGAAGGACCCCCTCTTCCAGGAGACTACCCTGGCCCCCAGATTTGGATGCTCTAAAGACCCCCTAAGCCTCCCCAGGAGGCCTGTAGCCTCAGCCTTGCCCACCCCAAGCCCCACTCACCATGAACACAAAGATGGATACGCAGCACCAGGCCAGCACCAGGTAGTAGCCGATCTTCCCAAAGAGCAGGCCCGTGAGGACCCCGCCAATCATCCTGAGGTCAGAGGGGGGGATCAGTGTGAAGAAGAGACCGAAGTCCAGGGCTGGCAGGCAGGACAGGAGCACTCACCCCACGTATTTGTAACCCAAGAAGGCCACCAGGTCAATGGTGGTGAGGTCGGTGTTGACAGTGACCAAGTAGAGACTGAGCAGGATGGCTACGACTTCCAGCGTCAGCCAAGCCAGCGCCGAGCTCGCCTGCAGTCCCAGGAGGTCTGGGGAGAACCTGCCAGAAGAGACGCCCTCTGAGCATCACCCGGGCAGCCCAGTGTTTACGGCACTGGAGGTGGAACAGAGACCTCCAAGAATCCGGGTCTGTCCCTAGACAGTGACACTCAAGTCAGGGCTTAGATGAGGACCTCAGAGTCCTGTGAAGGGTACCAGGAAGGTTCCTCCCTAAAGAAAGGTCAGCTGGGCTGAAGCCTAAGGCCAGGAACTGGTGGGGAAAGGGCCTTGCTCCGCCTTGGAGCCTCAGCAAGGGATCCACTAGTTCTATGACACATGCCACAAAAGGGAAGGAACAGGCAACTGTGAGGGAGGTGGGGCCTTATCAACCTGGGGCTTAGGAAGTTACCCAGGATGAACCACAGTGAAGGGGCAGGTGCTGGACAGAGGGGAACAGCAGTTTCGGTGTCAGTGAACTAATTGGATGTGCAAGGGCCCTGAGGCAGCGGCAGCAGCAGGGCTGGGCCAGCAAGGAGGTGGGCAGGGTCAACAGCTTACAGGATAGGGAGGCCCACCTCTTAGAACTTTTAGTTGCTGTTAGGGAGAGATCATAAGGGGTAAAAGTGGGCTGGGCAGTGGTGGCGCACGCCTTTAATCCCAGCACTTGGGAGGCAGAGGCAGGTGGATTTCTGAGTTCGAGGCTAGCCTGGTCTACAGAGTGAGTTCCAGGACAGCCAAGGCTACACAGAGAAACCCTGTCTTGAAAACAAACAAACAAACAAAAAGGGGGGGTGTAAAAGTGGGGAGCCACTTACTTAGGGGACTGGGGACACATAGATAGATTTGTGGGATGGAGGCCAAGAGGAAGGAAGGCTGGATTTCCAAGGTGGCCCAGCACAAATGGGTTTGAAGGGCTCCATGTGGACGAGTGGAAGGTGTCACTGAGTGACTGGCCACTAGGTGGGGCTGGCCCAGGACAGGAGAGCTGAGCCCTTGCAGAGGGCTCTTGGCCTCATATCCCCATGGTCTCCCCCTGCTCCAGGACCCTTACCTGTCCTGGGTCCCCAGGGCGAGGCCGGCCACCAAGATGTAGGTGATGAAGGCCATGGCTGCAGAAAGCAGACAGACAGACAGACACTCGTCAGAGGAGGGAAGCCCTTACGGTACCAGGCACCCAAACCCCGGTCCCAGGCACGCCCGGGCTGTGGTGGGGGGACAACCTGGAATGTACAGGTCTGGAGCATTGATGTCAAAGCGGGGGGCCACTGGGGTGTCCTGTTGGTATTGTACCTCCCAGTCCTGTGGAGAGAGGTGGGGCAGTGGCAGCACCCCGGGGTGGGGGTCCTTCCACCCTGCTTCCTGGTGGGTGCCGAGTGGGCACTGCTCACCTGGTGGAGGTAGGGGAACACAAGCAACCCCAGCTTCCTGCCCACGTACACCGTGTCCACCGCGAAGTAGTACTTGAGCTTGCTGACCGGGAGGAAGCGGTCGATCTGGAGAGACAAAGCTCAAGCTGTGGCCCCGCCCCCTGCTTGCCATTGGCTCCCAGCCCACCGCCCACCATGCCAGCCTACTCACGTTCTTGTCCATCAGCTCCTTGCCCTGAGCGGCCAGGCTGCTCCCGTAGACCATCGCCATGTTGGACATAGGGGCAGCCAGGAAAGCTGCCTCGGATGAAGAGGTGGGGTAACCCAGACCACCAGGTGATGGCTGGCCCCCGTAGCCCCGGCTCGGGGCTGAACTTGTGTCGTCGAAAAACTGGTGGGGATCAGCCATGCCTGGTTGAGACACTGGGACCCTCCGCTTTGAGGCTACAGAGAGAAGGGGGAAAGTTCATTAATTCTGCCCAGGTTCCACTACTCTCTCCGGCTACAGCTAGGACAAGGGTCACCAAAATAGCCCCTGTTGTGATGTCAGATGGGCAGCCATCCTACTATCCATCAGGCAACTATCCCTACACCTGTCTATCGATTCATTTATCTACCCATCCACTCATCTTCTTACCCATCATCCATTCATCTATCCATCATCCACCCTTTACTTAACCACCTGTCACCCCTCATTTCCCATCTATACAAACGATAATGAAAGCTCCTTCATCTTGGGGTCCACTCTACACAAATTCTGTACCAACCATGACAACAGAGCTCCCGCTCCTGCCCCTTCCCGACTTGACTCTCCTGAGTCTCCCCGATTGGCCTCTCGGTGTCCCTGACACGCACGTACTCAGCTCAGGGTTCTGTACTGGCCACGCCTCAGCCCGCAATGCTCTCCCATGGCTCCCACGGCCCCCTGCCCTCCGCCCCAAGGTCTTGCTGCATGTATGTCTCTTGGCAGTCCTCACCCACCCCTCCTCCACTGCTGTCTACAGCCCTGGACATCCACGGCAGATGAGCTGTGTCTTTTCTCTTGTTCACTGCAGGGTCCGGGGCAGGGATGCCCCTTGTTTGCAGGTGAATTCCCCCAGTTCCCAGAACAAGCTTAGAGTGAGCGCTCACCCTATTGGGCAGCTATGGGACGCAACCCAGCCAGCTCCATGGCTGGAGTGGAGCGCCAGTCGCACCCCGTGTGTGCCACCCAACAGTCACGCTTGTTTACTCACGGCCAGCCCAATTCAACTGAGGCTATCGCCATTTTTAAGTTATCAATAAAGACGGTCCAATTCAGACTTAAGCACAAGGCTCATGGCATAAGACACACACACAAAAAAAAAAAAAAAAAAAAAAAAAAAAAACAAAAAAACGAAAGTTATCTGTAAAAGTTCAATCTGACTTCGTGGGGGTAACCCGGGAAGTGGAGGCTGCTGAGTGGGCCAGGCTAGAGAGCATGGCAGACGGGGCTGGGGTGGGGATATGCAAAGTAGCCATTTAAGTACTGAGCCAGGGGCTGGAGAGATGGCTCAGCGGTTAAGAGCACTGATTGCTCTTCCAGAGGTCCTGAGTTCAATTCCCAGCAACCACGTGGTGGCTCACAACCATCTATAATGGGACCCAATGCCCTCTTCTGATGTGTCTAAAGACAGCTACAATGTAATCACATAAAATAAATAAATCTTAAAACTGAGCCAGGGGCCGGA